CTTTTAATTAAAATACAAATAAATTGCCTAAAAAATTGTTTATTAGGTAAAAAATTTAAATATAAATAACTAAAAATATAATAAATTAACAAAATTTAACATTAAAATAAAAATAAAAATATAATAAACTCCCTAAACATATAATATAACTAATATAATTTATAGTTAAAGTAAAAATATAAATATAATAAATTCTCTTAAAATATAATATAACTAAAATCAAATCAAATTAAAAAAATAGTTAGCTAGCAACAATTTGAGCTTAGAAATTATGTTTATATCATGTGTTTATAAACAAAACTAAAAGCCCTTGGGCTGCTGCTCAAAATCTGAGTTTATACTATAGATCTGAACAGACAGCAGACGCAGTTTCACTTAGGTTCAGTATTCAATTTGGGAAATACTGTTAAGAGCTTAACAGATACTATTACGAACTAAAGTTCAACATACTCAAAAGCCACAAATAGCAACGAGCTGAGCGAGAGGAGAGCTCAGTTGGCTGCTGCTGCATGAAGTTTATGGACTGGAATATGAGCAACCCTTTTGCAGCTGGCGTATATAATATTTAGCCACTGATGGCTGGAGCCAAGTTTATTATCAATTTCGCTTGCACACAGAGCATTTTGCTACAGCTGCCACGCCCCCAAGCCCAAGCGCCCACCTTTAATCTGGCTGGCAAGTTTGAACAGCTGCTTCACTTGTCCCAGCCTCCCTCTCTCCCTCTCTCCCTCTCTCTCTCTCTCACTCTCTGGCTGGCTTTGATGACATTTTACCTGCTGCTCAGTTGGCACATATCCTGTTTGCAGCTCATATCTACATATCTGTATACACATATATACATATATATATATATATATATATATATGGCTATAGCTATGTTTGTTCACGTTAAGTCTGATGTGAACTGTCAACTGTCATTTAAAATTTAATCGCATGTTGTTTCTCTCGCTTTGCAGTTGTCGCCGCGATTATTGTCGCCAGTTGTAGCCAGGGCTGCCCCTCGCCCTCCCCCTGACCGTGCGTGTCTCCCCTTGCCACAAGATTTTAATTACTGTGCCACAAGACAACGAAAGTCAAAGTCCCCGCCGCGCGCTCCTCTTAATGCTCCAGAGCCCTAACAGCAGCTGTCACTCGCTTATCGCTTTGGCTTTATAAAAATAATATTAAGAGACACTCATTGGGTCTCACTCTCTGTCTATCTGTCTTTCTTTCGCTCTATATCTCTGTCTCTGCTTCAGTTTGCTTGGCAGCTCTGCTCCATTTAGATAAGTGACACATAAATTAAGCAATTTTACTTTTCTTTCACTGCCTCTCTCCCCTCTTTGACTCCACTCAGCATAATTATAAAACAATTGTCTAGCTGCCTTTTGGCTTCATTTACTTTTTATTTTACAATTTATTCTGCTTCTTCTTCAAGTGTTTCTTTCTTCTTCTTCTTGTTTCCCCACTACAAGTAGTTTCAATCGCTGGTTTATTAACCCCTCCAACATATTTGTCTTCCATCATAAAAGTTTATTTGCCTCATTATCTTTTATCATTTGAGGTACGCAGCTCGAGTGCAAGATAAACATTTTGACAGCTCTGTCATAAATTGTCTCGCAGATAATTTTCAACGATAGCAAAGCAGGGCAAAGTTTTCATTCAAGAATTTTCCAAAAGCACAGCAAAGCTCAGGTGAGTTTAGCTGAAGCTGAAGCAAACTTTGAAAGCTAACTTTGAATTATAGCTTATTTAATGAAAAACGGAATTAGCATGTAGATTATAATCCGTTTGTTAAGTTATTAGAAATTGAAAACTCAAAAATATTCGGAAAGCACATGAAAGCTGTTGAAGCACAAAGCACTGAAATATTATTTCTATAAATTTATTTCGATATTTTTTTCGTTAAGTACTTCTATAGACATGTGTGCTTTTTCAACACATTTATTCTGCAAGCTTTGTTAGGGCTTTGATTAGAAAAAGCTTTAACTTAAACAAAAACTTTCTAAACAAAAACTTTACACTTGTTAAACTCCGGTATAACATTTTTAGAATATTTTTTCGATCAGCTATCAAAAAGCTTTAATTTTGATTAATTTAAATCTGCATTGAAATGTCAATTTTTCCAAATGCCAGTTTTTTCAGCTCCTTCAATAATTGCATATTAGCTTATTAAACAGAATAATGCGTGCATTATTCGAATTTATTATGCAAAAGCTTTGCCTGATTAAAAAAAGCTTTAACTTAAATGTCAACTTCTAATTCTGAATTGCTGAACTCTTTTGAGGTATTTTTTTTCTAGCTCTTTAAAAATGCCAACTAAACACGATCTATTCTCACCTTTACGCTAAAAATAGACAAGGCCTGGCCTTTGATAGACAATCAGCCAGTGACACCTCATTTGGGGTCCAACATCAAAGTCAGAGTCAGACGCAGCGTCAGCTTCATTATGTGTTGGCTATTTTGAGCATTGGCTCTGTGCTGCCCTTTGTTCGACTGTCGACTCACCTGCTTGGGGGGAAAGGTTGTCCGTCGTACTCGTATTTGGCCAACAGATTAACACCTTTTGAGTGGAAGCTGCCTGCCACACGAAACTTGTTCCACAGCGCAGCAATGCAATGCAGCTGCAGCTGCTCCTGCTGCTGTTTCTTCAATTTGTGCTGGCAGAAAAAAAAACTTTTCCCTTTTTATTTTTCCCTTTTCTTTTTTGTATTTATATTTTTTGCTGTTCGGTTTGGTTTATAATCAAATGCAATGGCATGACTAAAAATGGAATTTTGCTGTCTGCACTTCATCAACATGCGGGGCCCCAAATGACGCAAAGGACAAACACAGGCAGATGGAGAGAGAGAGAGAGAGGGAGAGGCAGAGAGGGCGACAAGCCTGAACCAGAACCAGAACCAGAAATTGAACTCAGACAGAGACTGAAGACCCAACCCGTTCCAAAACACGCATTCCTCATGCCATACAAAACAATTGACAGGAATTGTTGTAGTTGTTGCTGTTGTTGTTGTAGTGAATTGTCACAGCAACAGCAGTAGAAGAAGAAGGAGAAGCAGCAGCAGCATCAACCACTCTTCCTCTTCTTCTCCTGCAAACTCCTTTGTCAAGTAGCCCAGAACAAGTTTGCTTGGAAAGGACTCGAGCGACTGGAACTGGTTGCGCACATCGTCAACAGCAAATTGTCTTTTGCTCTTTATTTATCAATTGCACAAGCCCCCAATTCCAGTTCCCTGTCCCCCGTTGCCCGTTCCCCGTTCTCCGATCCGTGGCACTGGGCCGGTTTCCTTTCGATATCATTTCATTTCGCCTTTAGCAGACCGTCGCGACGTTCTGACTCTTTCACTATCTGACGCTCTGATATCTTTTGCTCTTCTGCCGCAAATTAAGATCAATATCGATGCCTCAAACCGGGCGGCAGGTGGCATTCGTATTCCATTTGTTCCACTCTCTCTCTCTCGCTCTCGGATCTCTGATTTATTTGCAGTTTCCAGTGGCGGAAACCGCTTAATACGTGGGACGTGAAACGTGGAACGCATTCGGTTTTAGCTTTCAATTCAATTGGCGCGCTTTGATGTCCAGCCAGCTACAGCTACAACTTTAGCTGCTCCCCTCGCTGGCTGCATTCCTAGATCTGACTGCCCGCTGTGCGAGCGTGCCGCCGCCCCGCTTCAGCCCGCCGCTGTTATTTATTGTATTCGTTTATCTGCATTTTCCAGGCGCTTATAAATTTCGCTGCGCTTAATTTGCTAAAGAACTGCAGCGCACATGACTTTTATGGCGGAGAATAATATTTCAAGATATTCCATAAACTGCTGATGCTGCCTCGAGTGAGTGCTGCAGCGCCATCTGTTGGCCTTTGGAGCAACAAGCAAGCTATCGGCTAATTTAATTGGAATATATTGATCGTCGTTGAGCAGGGGCGAATAGCTGGAACTAAATAAGTGCTTATATTTAGTCAATTATTAGCCCAAGTAGGGGTATTCCTGCAGTGGTTAAACAGGCCTGGCAAATTAATTGAAAGCAGTCGAGGAGTCAATCAGGCGGAACTAACGCTCGAGCGCTAAAAAAAAAAAAAAAAAAACAGAAACAACAACAAAAACAATCTCGGGTGAAAATAGAATTAGCATCTCATAAAAAAACGAGAGAGACGAATGAGGGGGGGACAGCAGCTAATCGATAATTTATGAGCAGAGGAGCTGGCCAAATCGGACGGATGGCTTAGGCAACATGCAACATGTTTATAAATATACCGCTAATGAGCAAAGCCAACGAGTAAATGACACCCCCCCCCCTCGCACCCCGCTCGGTTCGATTCATTGCGGTGTCAACGGATGACAGCGGCAACAATAGGGGGCAAGCATAGGAGAGGGGTGGGGCAGGGGCAGCTCTGCTTGTAAATTGTTTAAACAAGCGTCGGCACATTGACTTTGAAGCAATATGCTTACGTGTGTGTGTGTGTGTGAGTGTGTTTGTTTGATAAAAGAGACGACTTTGTTCCACTGTGACGTTTAAGCAATCGCTGTGTAAATATTTACCCCCAAGGTAAAAGTAAAATTAAGCATTGTTTACCTTTACACACCGACCTCCCCTCTGCTCCCCTGCTGCTCAGCCTGCTGCTCAGTCTGCTGCGTCTATCTGTGCCATAACTGTAATTTCTATTGGCATTTAACCGAATATTTGCCACAAATATTTGTGCTGCATTTCTGAGTGCTTTGCACATTAATTGTCCCAATTCAGATTGCAACTGCATGCGGAAAACTTCTGCGCCACATGCAACTAGGCCAGCACTGTGGCCAGCCCAAGATGCCGCATTAGACATTTCACTTTCCAAAGAGAAAACTGCTTCAAGCTGTGAACATTTGAATAATTCATGAATTTCTTGGCTCATCTGCTGAAGAGCCTCTCCAATACGAACAAGAGTTTCGATGATGAATCTACTCTGTCTTATACTTAGACTTATACTTCTACTTCTACTTCTACTTATATTCTCATACTTATATTCTTGTTTTCTCTTGCAGGTGACATCCTCTCTGGCGTTTGCTTTGTGGGCCAGCTGGACACTCACTCGCTGGGCGGCTTTCTTATACTGCCGCTGTGCATTTACTTATCGATTGGCGCTCTCTTTCTGCTGGCCGGCTTCATCTCGCTCTTTCGCATACGCACCGTAATGAAGACGGACGGCAAGCGGACGGACAAGCTGGAGCGCCTAATGCTGCGCATCGGCTTCTTTTCGGGCCTATTCATATTGCCAGCCTTGGGTCTGCTGGGCTGCCTGTTCTACGAATACTACAATTTCGATGAGTGGATGATTCAGTGGCATCGCGACATCTGCAAGCCCTTCTCCATACCCTGCCCGGCTGCCAGGCCGCCTGGCACGCCGGAGGCGCGGCCCATCTTCCAGATCTACATGGTCAAGTATTTGTGCTCCATGCTCGTGGGCGTCACCTCCAGCGTTTGGCTCTACTCCAGCAAGACGATGGTCAGCTGGCGCAATTTCGTGGAACGGCTCCAGGGCAAGGAGCCACGCACCCGGGCCCAAGCGTACGTCTAGTATGAGACGGCGGCGGCGGCGGCTGAGGTGGCGGCTAACGAGAGTTACTTAGCCTTTAGCACGTAAAGTCCCCAAAGTCTGCCCTGCCTCAAGAATTCACATTCACAGAAGTAAGCGAAGAGGAAGAAGTGAAAAAGAGATAGAGAGAGAGAAAGAGAGAGAACAAGTAGTCGTAGCTTAGCCTCGAACAGCTTTGTATAAAGTTCATCTATGTCCCCCCCGTCTACCCCTACCCATCAAGCGTAATCAAAAGTTTAATATTTAGTTATATATCTACATATATACATACATACATACTTATATATATTGTATATGAAGGCTTCTCGCTTTCTTGTTGAACCAAAACATTTTAATTGATAAGCTAATGATAATATTCTAGTATTTTAGTATGCTAGTGCTCTTATGGCTCATGCTTCCGCTTTCCATATTCATTTTCATTGCCATTTCCATTTCCATTTCCACTTCTGTTTCCGTTTGCGAATGGTATACGAATTGTATAAGAGTTTTATCGCTCGCTCGCTGTTGCATCTTCACTCTTCTACTCCACAGACGCATTCAATTCGAATAAGTTTGCATTTAAGTAGGATTTTTTTGATCAATTTTATTTGTGAAAGCTTTAAATGTGCCCTAACGTTAATTAAGTATATATAAAATAATATATATATATTTGCATATATTGTAGCTGTATGTGTGTCTAAGCTCTTTAAGATTATGTGTAAGAATTGCTGTAAATTTCTGACTAAACAGTTTTAAAAAAAGTTCACAAACTTCGCACATAAAAAATGCACATCAATTATTTATGATAATTCGCATAATTTTGTTCGACTGCAGTCAGAATTTCACAGCCAATTTAATTTAAGAAAAAAATATATATATAAAAGAAAAAACTGCTTAAAAAAAAAAAATAAAAATGCTTAAAATTTAATTAAAATTAATGTAAAATAAAATCAGCAGCATATTAAAAAGTGAATAAAATCATTAAATATTTATGTGTACGAAATATATAGCAACTACTAACTATATATATTTAATAATGATATATATATACATATATATTAATGAGCATATAAATGTATTACGTAGCAATAAATGTCCTCCATGTGCGAAACTTGTAATTGTATAATTATGTATGAATTATTTGTTAAACTAATTAATATTTAAAGCCAAACGCATTTGTTTTATTACATCTTTAATGACGTTGTAGTCATAAAACTTAAGAACTCAAAACGAAAGCGAAAACGAAAACGAAAACAAATCAATTTGCGTAATTAATTAAAGAAAACAATGAGAAAGAAGAAAAGTAACAACAACAACAACTACTGCCATTTAAACGTGTGTTTGTTAACTACTGTTGAGCATTTTGTTTAGTTTTTTTATTGTAAATTCTCAATAATGATTTTTTTTTTTTTTATAATTGTAGAGTTCAAATTATTCGCGTAGCATTTAAGAAGAAGAAGAAAATTCAAATGAAATTCAATTATGATAGTCGTTGTAAAATAGAGAAGAAAAGCAAAGGCAAAGCAAAAAGCAAAAAATTAAAGCATATTAAGTGTGTATACATATTAAAATAACAAATGGCAAATAAAACTTTATTTTATTGTTAAAGACTGAACGTGAAATGTATTTGAATTTAATTTAAGACCTAAACTGATTTCATCTGGCGGGGGAAAAACTCTTAATTGAGCAGGAATTGTAAAAATGTAACTGAAGAATATTTGCATTGAGGCAAAGCCCATGGGACGAGCTATTCACTGATTGCTTGGGCCAAAGCTGCAGAGTTCATGGAATATTTCAGCAATTTAAATGTGTTTTGTGAAAAGGTAAGTAAAAGCAAAGCCAAAGGATAAATTGTTTAGTCGATTAGGAGAAAAATGAGTCCTGGTTTATTTAAATGAATAAAATTCAGTTTATTAATTTGATAATTTGCCCAAGGCCAAAAAGACGTATTAAACAATAATTTGTAAAATAAATTTACGGAAGTTTAAATATTACAAATTTTCAAGAGTGAAAGGACTGAGCTTCAGACATAAAGCAAATAGTCTATTGGGATTTGGTTTGCCTTGTCAATTTTATAAAATAATTTTTTTTTTTAAATTATGCAGTTAGCCCTAAATAAACCTTACTGCAATAAGTATATGTGCATTCAAATTCTATTGAGCTTCATACTGTGTGCGTATCATAATGATTTCTCAGTGTTCCTTGCTATCTATTTGGTTGAACTTGATAGCTTTCTTGACATTTCGAAGTGAACTGAGTTGTCTATAATTATTTAAAATTTTAGCTTGCATTATACAATATTACAATATTTTTAAAGAAATATTTATTATATTTAATATTTATTGAACATTTCTATCCCTGCACTCTTTCTCTTTCTTTAATAAAATAAATTAAAAAATTAAATTAAAAAATATAAAATAAAATAAAAAAATAAAATAAAAAGTAAAATTAAAATAAAATTATTCTATTATATATATTATATACTTTTCATATTATATAATTTGTTTTTAATACATAAATTCTGTTAAGTATTTCATAGAAATTTCGCATATAAAATCTCTGTATATCTGTATATAAATTTCTGCCTCAGCTGCAGTCGAGTTTATTTAGCAAAGTCTATATTGAAGCCCGATTCATTATACTCCACTTAACTAGTGCAGACTATTTTATGTTTGCAATATTTCCAACTTCAATAAGAGCTCACACACAAAAAGCAACTTGCAAGTCTACATAGAATTTGCCTTTTTGCATAATTCATTTTCTAGACAAATTATAAATAATAGAAGGAATCCAAGCCCAGTTCAGATGGGCAATTTGATTTGTTTGCCATTCGAGGAAATTTTTGGCAGTGTTTCATATAAGTTGTAAATTTGTTGTTGGCTGCAAGCGTTTTGTTGCTCATCTGCCACTAATTGCATTGCAGACAATAAGCACTTGTCACGTGTGTGTGTGTGTGTGTGTGTGTGTTAGTCGACCAAAAAACTTTTCTCATTACAAGCAACTAGAATAAAGGCTTATCCCACACATACACACATGCACACACACGCACACCTACGCATATGTGAGAGGCACTTGAAAAGCTAGCCACAAAGCAGCTTCAAATTCAATCATAACTTGCCAAACACCCGCAGCTATATGCACTATGTATATGTAGAAAAGAGAGAGGGAGACTGAGAGTGAGTGAGAGAGTGGGGCTGCTTTAACAACAGCGATCCACAGTTGAGCCACATTGCCGTAAGCCTTGAAATTTACGAGTGGGCTGAGTAGGCGCGCCAGACTAGCACCCACTAACGAACGCCTCGGAACCGCCGCCCACAAAGCCACACGCCCATATAATTTTGATTACACTTGTTTCTCTAAATACTCCCGACTATAAAAAAAAAATATATATATACCACAAGCGAAACACATGCGAGCAGCAAATAAAATCCAGGACTACAGCACGTTAGCGGTCCGAATGACTGCTGAGCGGTGAGCGAGGGAGGGCGAGTGGTGCGGGGGGCGTGACCTAAGCGCCTTAGCAACAAATTGCAGTTAAAAACGAGGACCAGCAAATCTGCGCTCCTTGGCAACCAGACGTGCTCCGATCCCCTCACTCCCACTCTCCTCACACTTCCGCTTCCTCTCCCTCTTTCTCTCTCTCTCTCTCTTTCTCTGCAAAGGAAACACGCACACAGCGGGACGTGTACGCAAGGATATGAAGGATATGGCGCTGTTTTACAAAACACGTGTGCGATTTAACAACTACAGCAAAAGCAACAAAAACAAAGCCAACTACAAATGCAACCAAAAGTTTATCCAAAAATAAAAAATAAATACACAAAAAAAAAAATAAAAACAAACGGAAGAAAAAACATTCAATATGGCGGCGGGTTTTGTTGCGTTTTTATGTGACCGCCATAAAAAAGTTGTTGTGTGTAGGTGTATGTGTGCGTGTGTCTGTGTATAAAATGGAGCAGGCGTGTACAAGCGTTAATGTGGCAAAAATGTTTTTGCAATGAACTTTTCTATTTGGCTCTACAAGTTTTTACAAAATGCTCTAAATACGAGTGGACATAGTGGACTAAAATTAGCTGTTATGATTATGAGATAGAACTAAATATGAAAATGCGTTCAAATGAGCAAATAGAATACAAATAATATAAGTAATAATGTACAATTAAAAAAAGACTCAATTTTAGTTATATCTAGAAATAATAAAATAAAAAAAGTCAAGTAAACGTCAAATTAAAATATATTAAAACAAATATATTCAAATATATATAAATAAAATATTCATAAAAAAATAATACAAGAATAAAAATAATTAATAAATTTAAAAAAAAATTGAAATTATATATTTTAGGAAATTGAATATAATTAGAGTTCGATTTTTTGATATTTTAAAATGAAATATTCATAAAAATAATAAAGGAATAGAAACCATCGATCAATCAATTATATAAAAGAAATAAGATTTTCCGGTATTTTAAAATAAAATATTCAGAAAAATAATAATGGAATAAAAATAATTAATAAATAAAAAAATATGAAATTCTATATTTTAGGAAATTGAATATAATTAGAGTTAGATTTTTTGATATTCATAAAAATAATAATAGAATAAAAATAATTAATAAAAAATCAATAAAAATTTAAATGAAATATTTTAGGTAATTGAATATAATTAGAAAATATTGGTCTTACATTTATATATATCTTAAATATATTTTTCTTTTTGAATATACATATATATACTAAGAATCACTATTCATCAAATTGGCGCATTAGCAAGATATAAAACACTAAAAAAAAATAATAAATAAATAAATAAAAAAAAACAATGGGCTCGCATTCTCCAAAAATATTCATATACAACTTCAACTCGATAAGCAGCTTCACTATTTCATTCGGCTTAAAATGAGAATATATAGAGTATTACATTGTCGTCATGCTGCGATTCTCTGTTACATTTACTGCTTTTATTATTTGTATTTCACTTTTTTCATATTTTGTGCGGCAGCGTGAAAATCTGAAAGAAAACATATGAGTGGATAGGGCGCTGTTGCATGCTACATGCTGCATGTTGCATGCTGCATGCTGCATGTTGCTCTGTGGAAGTTACTAAAAATAAAAGTGTGAATATTATGCGGTTAAAAGAAGAAGAGAAAAACCACAGCAACAATGGGAAATGGCAGCCTGGGAGTATTTCAGTTGAGTTCGTAGCATACTTTGTGGCACCTCGTTTGAGAGCAGCTCAAGTAGCCTTGGCAACAGATTTGGAAACCGAGTCTGCCTGCCATTTCAATTCACATTCACATTCATTTGTATAGACTCACGTGTATTACTAGTAATCTATCATCCAATTACGCAAGAGGCATGTCTGTCAAGTTCTGGCTAATTGTAACGGTGCTCTCGGTGGCCCTGGCACACACCTATGTCTACTCGAATCTGTTGCGCGAGAGCTCACCGGGCGTGATGGGCAAACTGGACTTCTCCAGATTCCTGACGGCCATGTGGTTTAGCATGAGCGATGCCCTGCAGCACTTGCGCTCCCAGCTCAAGCTGCATCTGGAGGTGGGCCAGCGGGCGGCTGTACAGGTCCGTCGCGGCCTTGCCGAGTTCCGCCAAAGGCGCGCCGAGCTCAGGGCCAAGCGAAGTACCAAATCGAGCTCCAAATGAAGGCAACAACAACAACCAAATTTTAGTCAACTATTTTCCCATCTTTTGTGTGTCTCTGTGATAAATATCATGTTTTGTGTTGTGTGCGAAGAGGAGATATTCATTTAATTAATTGCTGAAGCAGCGACAAAAAAATTAAATGAAAATCGAACTCATTTAATTGGAATTTTCAATTAGCCAATGGCCAAATGTGGCCATAAGAGAAAACGAAAACAGT